CATTTCGTAATTCAGCTAAAAATAGCAGAGGGATCATAAATGTAGACCCCTTTCTCGATGTGAGTACTATCATGGGTGGGGAAAATGCATAGTATTTGCTGGGAGAGGCCACTTAAATTCCCTTTTGGTTTCCATTAAAGTCCTGCATGCGTTGTACTCAGTCACAACTGCAGGCTTAGATGTCAGAACACTCATTTTCATAAATAGACCTGGAAAACATAATCACATTCAACCCTTGCTGTTTTGAACTCTAGAGTAACTTTAGAGAACACACTATTTTAACTAACACTTACTTATAACAGTTAAGGTCAAAATTCCAGACAGTTTGTTATTCAATTATAGAAGGAAATCAGGGATTTCTTTTATAAGGTTTTCTGCTGCTGCTCCTGTCTCTTTTGAGTATGTGTGTGTATGTGGGAGTCAAGGTTAGCCTTGTTAGGTAGCCTATTTTTATTTAAATGTGTTGAAGTCTACAATAAAACATTATACAGACATTCCCCAAGTTGCAGGCGTGGTGGTTTCAAGGTTACTTCATGGAGCTGGAGCACTGGCTGTGCAGGCCCTGAGGGCCTGTGGTCCCAATGGGGTGGCTGTGGCGTGCTCCATGGCATCTGGAGGTGGTGTTCCTACTGATGATGAGCTGACGACTGGATTGGAGATGCAGGTCATGATGGTTGCAGGGAAGGGACTGGACCTATATAGTGTATTACCCCCAAAGGTAGTTTCAGGCACCAAGGAAGACCCTAATTTAGTTTCCTCCATCACCAACAAGAGTATAGCGGGCTGCATCTGTGAAGAGGACAACAGTGCTGTCATCTGGTTTTGGCTGCACAAAGGCAAGACCCAGCAGCAATGCCCTAGCTGTGGAACCCATTATAAGCTGCTGCCCCACCAGGTGGCCCACTGAGCCCATGCACTAAGTTACTCAAAATGTGCTGTAAAGTTTCTTCTTTCCAACTAAGACTAGCTCTTGTATTGGCTGATATACCAGATCAGGCTGTATACCTGATCTGTGAATGTTTCTTGTATATGTGGTGCCAGTTACAACATAACAACTCCTCCCCTACCTTCCCCACTGGCAAGCTATTCTGCTCTGCTCTCCTTTCCTTCTTGCCATTCATTAGTTCCAGAGAGCCATCTTGGGGTTCTTGGACACTAATGCCAGCTAAAGTCTGACTTAGGCACATTTCTGACCTACTTACCTCTTCTCCATGACTTTCCTTCTTTCTTTTGAGGTAGTTATTCATGTAGAATAGTTTTCATTGCCTTATCTTTCCTTTCTTTTCAAATTTTTACTCAATTTTTTGAGAAAAGCAAGTTTTTTTCCTTTTCATTTTCTCCCCATTTCTGCATTTTCCAAGCTAGGAGACAGGTGAAAATAGGCAATAGTCCATCTTTGGTGGGAGCTGACCTGGGCCAGTGTGCCTGCCTCAGGTAGTCGTCTAATAGCCTTTAGTTACCTTGCTCCTCCTCACCACTAGGAGTCCTGAGTGACCCTGTTCATAGATGCTAAAGATCAGAGCAATGTTGGTGATGCACTTGAACTGAGAAAAGCAAAACTACCCACTTGGGAGGGAAGGGTGAGGGGCATCGGTCACATTAGCTGTGAATAGCATGTCTTGAAATTTCTGTAAAGGCCTCTTCAGAATTCCAGAATTTCTATCTTGGTCTTCATCTTCTTCAAATTAAATATACATTTTATTTTACACTATTATTCAAGATATATGGAAAAAGTAAAACAGGTTCTTAATTGATTTTTATTATTTTTTACTTTCTTTAATTGTCATTAGTGTGGTAGTTTACTGCTTTTTATTGCAACTACATAGCATTTCAGTTATATTAGTGATTAAATAAGCCTTTGTGGTATAGCCTATAAAATGATCTCTATAGGGACAGTAAACTCTAGTCTTTAACACCTAACTTATGAAAGAAATTTTTAGAAGGCCACTGGATTGTAAATAGGAGACCCACTCCATAGCATGGTATGTGTAATGCAGATGATCTTTATTAAGCCCACCCTCCATTCTATCAAGACCCAAGAGCTCATTTAATGTCAAACAAAAAAGGCATTTCTTTTATTTATTTTTATTTTTATTTTTTTAATTGTTATGCATTAAGTTCTAGGGTACATGTGCATAACGTGCAGGTTTGTTACATATGTATACTTGTGCCATGTTGGTGTGCTGCACCCATCAACTCGTCAGCACCCATCAACTCGTCCTTTACATCAGGTATAACTCCCAATGCAATCCCTCCCCCCTCTCCCCTCCCCATAATAGGCCCCAGTGTGTGATGTTCCCCTACCCGAGTCCAAGTGATCTCATTGTTCAGTTCCCACCTATGAGTGAGAACATGCGGTGTTTGGTTTTCTTTTCTTGCGATAGTTTGCTGAGAATGATGGTTTCCAGCTGCATCCACGTCCCCACAAAGGACCCAAACTCATCCTTTTTTATGGCTGCATAGTATTCCATGGTGTATATATGCCACATTTTCTTAATCCAGTCTGTCACTGATGGACATTTGGGTTGATTCCAAGTCTTTGCTATTGTGAATAGTGCCGCAATAAACATATGTGTGCGTGTGTCTTTATAGCAGCATGATTTATAATCCTTTGGGTATATACCCAGTAATGGGATGGCTGGGTCATATGGTACATCTAGTTCTAGATCCTTGAGGAATCGCCATACTGTTTTCCATAATGGTTGAACTAGTTTACAATCCCACCAACAGTGTAAAAGTGTTCCTATTTCTCCACATCCTCTCCAGCACCTGTTGTTTCCTGACTTTTTAATGATCCCCATTCTAACTGGTATGAGATGGTATCTCATTGTGGTTTTGATTTGCATTTCTCTGATGGCCAGTGATGATGAGCATTTTTTCATGTGTCTGTTGGCTATATGCATGTCTTCTTTTGAGAAATGTCTGTTCATATCCTTTGCCCACTTTTTGATGTGGTTGTTTGTTTTTTTCTTGTAAATTTGTTTGAGTTCTTTGTAGGCTCTGGATATTAGCCCTTTGTCAGATGAGTAGATTGCAAAAATTTTCTCCCATTCTGTAGGTTGCCTATTCACTCTGATGGTAGTTTCTTTTGCTGTGCAGAAGCTCTTTAGTTTAATTAGATCACATTTGTCAATTTTGGCTTTTGTTGCTGTTGCTTTTGGTGTTTTACACATGAAGTCCTTGCCCATGCCTATGCCCTGAATGTTATTACCTAGGTTTTATTCTAGGGTTTTTATGGTATTATGTCTAACATTTAAGTCTCTAATCCATCTTGAATTAATTTTCATATAAGGAGTAAGGAAAGGATCCAGTTTCAGCTTTCTACTTTTGGCTAGCCAATTTTCCCAGCACCATTTATTAAATAGGGAATCCTTTCCCCATTTCTTGTTTCTCTCAAGTTTGTCAAAGATCAGATGGCTATAGATGTGTGGTATTATTTCTGAGGACTCTGTTCTGTTCCATTGGTCTGTATCTCTGTTTTGGTACCAGTACCATGCTGTTTTGGTTACTGTAGCCTTGTAGTATAGTTTGAAGTCAGGTAGCGTGATGCCTCCAGCTTTGTTCTTTTGACTTAGGATTGTCTTGGAGATGCGGGCTCTTTTTTGGTTCCATATGAACTTTAAAGCAGTTTTTTCCAATTCTGTGAAGAAACTCATTGGTAGCTTGATGGGGATGGCATTGAATCTATAAATTACCTTGGGCAGTATGGCCATTTTCACGATATTGATTCTTCCTATCCATGAGCATGGTATGTTCTTCCGTTTGTTTGTGTCCTCTTTGATTTCACTGAGCAGTGGTTTGTAGTTCTCCTTGAAGAGGTCCTTTACATCCCTTGTAAGTTGGATTCCTAGGTATTTTATTCTCTTTGAAGCAAT